TGTCCTTGTCCCCAAGTCGCATTTCTTGAATTAAGTTATGGTAATCGCCTTGTTGCCGACGTTTTTTGAAGATTTCTCTTACCCACACGCTTCGTTGAGGTCTTCTAAGGTGACGATTGTAATATAACAAAATCAATAATTTCTTTTTCAGCATATTATTGCAAAAATTATCTTGACATAAACAAAGATCCATTTTTACTTTGAGGTTAAAATGTCAAACGTCAAATCTCATCAAATGTCAGTCAATGCCACAAATGTCATTTTGTACCCAACGTGAATTTAGTTATAAAAATGTAATTCCCCACAAATTACGAAACATTGCCATACGTTTTTCGGATGCATGGGGACGTAACAATTTTCCGTACGAATATTTTTTTGCGAATCGCATTTCGGATTTCGCAATTCGTGCGCATGGGGACTAACCTTAAGGGTAAACATATTGGGATTTGTCTTTCAATAACACAAACCAGTCAAACCACATGCGGCGGGCGTATCCGGGACTGGCTGAAAGTGTTGGCCGATGTCGATATAAGCACGGAAATATCGGACAATGGAAAGACACTTGCTCGTTTGTCTATCTTGTTGACCAGATATTTCTTACGGTGAGATATATGGCGTTTGGGATCGTATGCGACTTCGACTTTATATGGTCTATTTCCAATATTTCTATATTTTAGTTTTCAGTTCAGTGTTTCTTTTTTTTTATGTTTAGTCTGTTAAATGCGCTTGTGGGTGGCAGAGTAATAATTATTTTAAATTTTTTGTTCGCCTTCGTTTGTTCGGTAATAAAATGGCAGATATAGAAGATCCGATTATTTATGTAAAACAACGTAGTTTTTCACTATCTCTCGAAGAAAAATTACTTTTGAAAAATTCCCAAAAGCGGCCAGAATTAAATATATCGCAAAAATTTCAAAAAAGTTGGTACGAATCCTTTAGCTGGTTGACGGGAAGTGTTAATACGAATGCATTATATTGTTTTCCCTGTAATCTGTTTGATGGAGAGGAACCCTGGGCAAAATCTGGTGTTGATGTGGTAAAAAATTTTGTACAGAAAGCCAATAAACACGCATCTTCAAAAAAGCACATTTCCTGCAATGAATTTTTTTGTATGCTCGGAAAGGTGCGTATAGATCACGCCCTCGTTGAAGCGCAAAAAAAGAATACCCAACAACATAATGAGAACGTTAGAAAAAATAGGCATATTGTTGGACGATTAATTGACGTGGTATGCTTTTTGGCGAAACAAGAACTCGCCTTTAGAGGACACCATGAGACAGCAGACTCAAAAAATAAAGGTAGGTACCTAATAGTTTTTTTTTACCTAACTAAAAGTAACAAAAATATTTTTTAAGGAAATTATTTAGAGCTTTTGGAGCTGCTTGCTATGGAGGAATCCACTATGAAAGATCATTTGGAAAGCAATTCAGTTTTTAAAGGAACATCTAGTGACATTCAAAATGATCTCATCGAGTCAGTGAAATATGTAATCCAGGAAATTATTTTAGAGGAATTAAAGAATGCTGACTTTGTTTCTATTCAAGCAGATGAAACAACAGATGTTTCTTGTCGGGCACAGTTCAGCATAATTGTAAGATATATTTATAAAAATGAAATAGTTGAGAGATTTCTCGGTTTTTATGACGTTTCCAGTAATAAAACGGCAATAGGACTTAGCACAAAAATATTAGAAGTTTTAAACTCATGCCAGATAGGCAAAAATAAACTTGTATCACAAACTTACGACGGAGCTAGTGTGATGTCTGGGTCAAAAGGTGGCGTACAAACTATAATAAAACAAACTCATCCTCAAGCACTCTTTATACATTGCTATGCTCATCAGCTGAATCTAGTTCTTTTACATAGTTCTAAACAAATTCAAGATGTAAAACTATTTATTTGTAATTTAACTTCTTTTAAAACTTTCTTTGCTCGATCCCCTTTACGAATGGAAGAACTAAGAAAAGCGGGATTTGCTATTCCTAGTGGGTCTGATACAAGATGGAACTTTCATTCTCGATCGGTATTTTCTATTTTTAAAAATTATCATACTTTGAAACAAATAATGAATTTTGTAAAATCTTCTGAAAAATTTGATCCAGAAAGTACTAATTAAGCTATAGGTTTCAACAAAATATTAGATAATCCAAAGTTTGTTCTTATGTTATGTTTATTTTATAAAATTTTTATATTTTCAGATCATTTATACTCTGTTTTACAATCAAAATTTTTATCTAATCCTGCTATTTGTTTCCAAGAGGTAGAACAAACCATTAAAAATATATCAAAATTACGTAGCGATGAGACCGTATATTTCTGTACAAACGAATGTAAGGAACTTCTTATGAATAGGGATATAGGCGATAATACTATTTCTAATTTTAAAAGGGTTGCGTTTGAAGTTCTAGATACTATAATTGTTCAGTTAAAGGAGAGATTTAACGATATTGACAGATTATCATTCATAGATCTTTTAAATCAAAAAATGTATTCTGAATATTTAAAAAAATGTCCCAAGCACTTATTTCAAAAATTAAACGAAACTTATCCCAGTATCTTCAATTTACCAAAATTAGAAAATGAACTTTTAGTAATATATTCATGTGACATTAAACACAAATTAGAACCTTTAAAATTATTTAATTATATTTGTGACAACGAATTGAATGATGTCTTTTCTGAAACATTTAAATTATTAAAATTACTTTTTACCATACCTGTTACCACTGCGTCTTCAGAAAGATCTATGAGTACCTTAAAAAGAATTAAAACCTATTTAAGGAATTCTATGGGAAACGAAAGGTTATCGGCGTTATCTACGTTATCTATAGAAAAAGATATAGTAGGAAACTGTAGCAAATATCCACATTTTAAAGATAAAGTCATTGATCATTTTGCTACGAGTAAAACACGTCGACTTGACTTGCTTTTTAAAACGATTTAAGAAACGTTTTATAACTACTACTCGTACTATATTTTTTTTTACTTTAAATTTTAGTTTATATATTTTTTAGCAATAAACGTTCCGCTAATGCCGTTTTTCTTTTTATATTTGTGTTTTATTTACATTTTTATAATGAAGCGTATCATAAGATTTAAATATACAGGGTGTTCCTTAATGACATGCTAATATTTAAGGGGGTGATTCTTGGACTCATTTTAAGGAAAAAACTTTATATGGACGTATGTCCTAAACCTCCTAACTTTTGAGATACAGGGCGGTAAAATTTTCAAAAAAAAAAAAAAATTTTATAATAACTGTGACAATATTGTAGATATTTTCATGAAATTTAGCACACGTCTTCTATAAATCAAGATACATTTTACTTACTTCTGAATTAATTAACATTTGATATGAAATAAACTTAATAACTTGAAAAAAGAAAAAAAAGCAATTTGACCCTGAAGTAAAACGATTTTTATTTTTTTTAGCGAAAACCATGCGTCGGGCGAAAGAAAATCAAAAATTTAAATTTGTTTAGGAATGAATGACGATTCCAAAAATAATTTTTGTTTTAAGAATAGACAGTGGCGTACTATTTTTTTCTTCAAAAATATTCAATGCAAAACCGGTACGGACGCCACTGCTAAAAATTATAAAAAAAAATTTACATCAGAAAATGCATCTTCATTTATAGAAGACGTGTGCTAAATTTCATAAAGATATCTACAATAGTATCACAGTTATTATAAAAAAAACTATATTTTTTTGAAAATTTTACCGCCCTGTATCTCAAAAGTTAGGAGGTTTAGGACATAAGTCCATATGAAATTTTTTTCTTAAAATGAGCCCAAGAATCACGCCCTTAAATATTAGCATATCATTATAGTATATAATATTTTTATGATAATTATATGTGTATTTATAAGAAGGTTGAATTTTATTTTTTGTCTACCCAGAAAAAAAACTCACGCTTCGCCACTGCAAACAAGAGTTATCTATAGGGATAAAAACAAGTCAATGAACCAAGTAAATGGATAAGTTTAATTATCAATGTGTAGAAAAAAAATAAGTCATTGAGAGTTTATCTAGATCCAATGAATTATTATTATTATCCTATCCCTACCATTGAAGAAATTCGTTCAAAATTTCCTAATGCGAAGTTCTTCTTAACTTTAGATGCGCAGTTGGAAACTGTGTACGTTTGGAATGCCTTTTAATAGGTTCAAATTATGTTTGGAGTTTCATGTTTTCCTGAAATGTTTCATAAAACTATGTATGAAATAATATCTGATATAGAAGGTTTCTTATGATCTTTAATTTTTTTAAATTTTGCTGCCGCACGTAAAGAAAATACCTGAAAACAGAATCTTTTCGTTGTCGCGTACAGGAATTAGTGGAACAGTATTCCTATTAACTTTACACTTATCCTCGTCCATTATCTTCTACATCATCTCATTCTAGTGCGCCTTCTCCTGGTTATCAGAATGCCTACTCTACCGTTTCCATAAGCCAACAACCAACCACGTCCCAAAATTATCTTGCTAATGATCCTAGACCCCTTAAAAGTAACCAACAACAAAATATAACTGATAATAATACTACAGATTGTATACCAACTCTCTTTCTCTTCAGTTTAGTCAAAAGAGAATCCAAAGCCATCAGATGGTAATCAGAAAAAAACAATTTGCTAGAAGTTGTAGACGCAACTGAAAACGATTTTTCTCGCTTTTAAAGATATTCACTCTGTACCATTCAGTCGCGAGACAACGGCGCAGATCGGCGCTGATTGCTGGTAAGCGGAAATCTGCTTCTATTGTGTTTGTACCCTAATACTATTCTTACCGGGATAAAATAATTGGCATCTACTCACCTACCAGATGGGTGGAAACAGTGGAAGGTTGTAAATTTTACCAAAAAAGATCTGCTTAGCTCCAATATAGGTCCATAAATCCTGAACAAGATTATATTTGCCCTACCGACAGTAGGCTTGGCGAAAGCTTTTAATCCGCAAGCGACATCTCTCTCAGAAAAAAAATACAGAGAGATGAAAGTAAAGATGTTAGACTGGCCTTTCTGTGTAGGCCTTATTATTCGTCCCTCATCGTTGGCCTGCAGAATACGAGGCTCAGCAGCCCAGAATGAATTAGTAACCGCATCTATTGCCTGTTTAAAGCCTTTACTCTTATCCAGAAGACAAGCATGTAGCCAAATGGAGGGTAGATCAGATGCTGAGAGCGTCGATTCTCAGATCTCTGGCAGTTTCAAAGCTCCAAGGACTTCAAGGTTGGACAACTTAGAGAAGAGCAATATGGAATTGAAGAACATGGCTGCATCTCTATTAGAAAAATTTGATACGTCCAAGTTCCCGGCTTTTTATAGATTCTTGGAAAAAGACAAGGGAAATTTATCGTCGGCTGCATCTGAAGGTTCATAGGATGCAATTTCGGAGCAGGTGCCTACTTCACCTCAGGAGACCGACACCTGGGTAGCCCCTACTCTTTCCCACAATTCAAGTATGGATTATGATTTTGCTCCGTATACTAGATAGCAGGAACCAATAATTCCTCCTCCAAAACCATCTATAGGGGCTCAGGGTATTCAACGCCAACGTTTTGGAAATCGGTCTTTTAACAAAATCCGATATTCGGATGTCCAAAAGAAACTTAATGCTGCACCTGTCTTAAGCGCCTTACAGGCCAATCCACGGATTCAAAAACTCTCATCTATTAATCAAGATTCTCTAATCAAGTCAGATTTTATGTTGGAGTCTATAACGCACGGCCTACTGCTTTAGAGAGAGGCCTTCTCTGAATCAATAAAGAAATTGATCGATAAGCTCCTGATGTGAAATTGTTTTTCGCTGACCGATAGTCAGAGATAATTGAGACCAAAAGAAAAGCTTTCAGGCCAAAATCAGAACCCGCAGCTTCCCTTATGGATGCGATACCTCGTTATTATAGCCACCTCTTCGAAGAGAATGCTCTGACTGACTTTATGAAACAATATGGGCAGTTTTTTCGGGCACCCATGCGTACATCAAGCTACAAAAAGACGCCCTTTTACAATATTAAGAGTTCCAGATCTCTTAATAGTTCAGCGGAAGGGTCTCGTAAATCCTCTTTTAAAGCGCCTCCGACTGGAGATTCAGACGAAACCAAGCGGGGTCCTCCCATGGGTATAAATCTCGGGGTCACATACTTAACCCTTTCACTGCCCAGAACACGCCTGGCGTGTTCAGTAAGATATCTACAAGGTGCCCCGGACACACCTGGTGTGTTCCGAAGGCATTTAGCTAATATTGAGTTTCACGTTTTAGGCACATGTAGTACGATACTGGGCGAATGGGGGCATATCTAAAATAGCATAAAATATTATAACCATGTGGTGGTTTTGAGGTTAGTTGTCTTTGAGCGGTAGTAGTAGATACTTGTCTGCGTACTGTAGTAGTGTTCATCTATAAAGTGATATTTTGAGTAGATTGAGGTAAGTTTTCGGCATATATAAATAAAAATAGTTGCAAATAATATCTGAATACTACAGTGTAGTGTTTTAGGTATAATTCAAAGACGGAACGGGATGAAAATCAGCCATCAACGTCTAGAAAAAAAGTGAGGTTAGATAAACAAAAACCTTGTAGTGAAGAACAACTTTTGAAGATGTTGGAAAACTCATCTGACGAATTTGATGAATCGGATGAAGATTTTGATATAGAAAATGAAGTTGTCAGTGATTCAGAAGGTTGAGATGATAGTAATATTCTGACTGCTGTTCAAACAACTGCTGCTGCGCCTGCTGTTCCGCTATGGTTACCAGAACGCCCACAGGTAACTCAAATACCATTTAGAGGAAATACTGGGTTGAAAGCAGGGTTAGATGCTAGGGAACCATTAGATTATTTTAATTTATTATTCGACGATCATTTTTTTCAATTAGTCGTTGAAAATACTAACAGTTATACAGTTGAAATACTAGTCAATAGTACGAGTGATCAGAGTAGAATAACTCGATGGAAAGATGTTACTAAGGAAGAGTTTAGAACGTTTTTAGGCCTCTTTTTTCATATGGGGACTATAAAAATTAATAGGATCAACGATTATTGGAGAACCCATTACCTTTTCAATCTCCCTTCTTTTGCAAAGTTTATGAGCAGGAATCGATTTTTGTTGATCTTACGGGCTTTGCACTTTAATGACAACTCGGTTGACGGAAATCAACTGTCTAAAATAACACCTCTAGTTACATTTTTTAATTCAAAAATGGCCCAAATTTATTACCCACAAAAGGAACTAGCTATTGACGAATCTATGGTGCAATGGAGTGGTCGCCTTTCATTTCGGCAATATATGAAAGGAAAGCGTCATAAATATGGTATAAAACTTTATTGTTTAGCAGAACCGAAAGGAATGACGCAGAAGATTCACGTTTACGGGGGATCTTCAGATGCAACTGTTGGCGGGAAAAATCATGTGCAAAAAGTTGTCCATACATTATTGGAAGGAAAAAAAGGTATAGGCCACTCTGTCTACATGGATAATTTCTATAATAGTGTAGAGTTATCAGAACGATTATTAGCAGAGAAAACCTATATTACTGGTACCCTAAGACCAAAACGAATTGGAAATCCAACAGAAGTGATATCAAAAAAACTTAGAAAGGGAGAAACATATTGCTTATATTCAAATCAAGGACTTTGCGTCAGTAAATGGATGGACAATAAAGAAGTTTTGACAATCTCTACAGAACATTCTGGAGAAATGGTAGAAACTGTTTCCAAAAAACAACAAAGGAAGTTTAAACCTCAAACCATCGCTGAATATAATAAATTTATGGGGGGCATCGACAATGGTGACCAAATGATGTCCTATTATGCCTGCCTCCATAAAACCCTACGATGGTACAAAAAATTAGGATTACATATATTCCAAATGATGTTCATAAATTCTTATTATTTGTACAATAAATACGGTAGCAGGAAAATGAATTTATATGATTTTCGGTTGGTTGTCTTGGAAAAATTATTATGCCATCCCCTCCGGAACCACAAAATGAACGCCAATTACGTCAGCATTATCCCCAAAATTGTGAAAGAGGCCAAGATGGGAAAACCAAAAGACGTCGGTGTAAATATTGTTGGGATAATAGAAACGTTAGAAAAGCAACAATAACGTTCTGTCCGCAGTGTCCAACTGAACCGGGTTTGTGTTTGGATTCCTGTTATAGACTTTTTCATGAGATACTATAATTTTCTATATTTACTCTACCAAAGAATTTTAGTTCCTTGTTTCCTGTTTTCTTTTCTTTTATTTACTATACCAAAGAATTTTAGTTCCTTGTTTTCTGTTTTCTTTTCTTTTATTTTTATTTTAGCAAATGAATGTATTTTGTGTTAATAAATATTTTTTTTTTGATTATGGACTTTTATTTCCAATTGTCTTTTATCTCAACTAACAATTACTGGAAAGACACGCTAGGAGTGTTCAGGGCATATTTAACCGAATAGTGTGCCTATGTGCCCCGAACACGCCTGGCGTGTTCTTGTCAATTTTGACAGTTTGATACATATAGGTAAATATAAATACATAAATAAATAACGTGATAATAATATTTTATTTAAACATTAAAAATATCATGTGGGCACCGCATAACTTACAGATCGGCGAGGCAGTGAAAGGGTTAAACCCGGATATTTTGACAGACGTGGAGTTGACAGAAAGCGTCAAAAGAAAAGGTGACTACAGAGGGGAGGTATTCAAGGGGGGAAGGCTAGTCGATTTTGTACAGAAATGGAGGGACTATGGAGCTCCAAGGAGTATTTTAAAAACCCTGTCAGGGTATTCAATTCCCTTTGTAAGGCAACCTCCCCTGACAAAATTTTCAAGTACCCCGTTAGATCGCTTTTCTTTCCCAGGAAAGGCTCGGGAAATCGAGTCCATGCAACGGCAAATTTTTTTAGAGAAGTCAACTTACCCAACAGGGTTTTTATCAAAAATGTTTGCTGTCCCGAAAAGCGACGGAAGCTCAAGACCAATCTTCAACCTAAAAGGTCTGAATCTGTATTTAATGCCAAAGAAATTTCGCCTAATGAATCATTTAAGTCCCGTACTTTTTGCAAAAAGGAAACTACTTAGTAAAGGTGGACATAACACAGGCGTACTGCCATGTTCCAGTGAGACCATCTCATCGAAGATTTTACTCCTTAGTTCACAAGCGAGAAGTATTACAGATGACTTGCCTTCCATTCGGCTTGGCAACGGCACCTCTAGCGTTTGCACGCTTATCAAACTGGATGGCAAGTCACCTTCGGGACAAAGGAATAAGAGTAATAGTTTATTTGGACGACTTCCTGATAGCTCACCAAAATCGGGAACTTCTGGAAGCGCAAACCCAGATCTCAATTTCGTTCCTAGAGGACATAGGATGGGTGATCAACTACGATAAATCTTCACTGGTTCCAAAGACAAGATGCGAGTTTCTGGGCTTAGTTTGGGATACACTGGAAGATCGGATGTCCTTACCGTCCCGCAAGAATCCCTGAAAAATCATCTATCGAAATTACTAACACTAAAGAGGTGGGATTGGATAACTGTCAAGAGAATTTTAGGAAAATTAAATTTTGCGGCATTCGCAATACCACTCGGCAGGCTTCACCCTAGAAAAGTGCAACGAAGCAGCCATTGTCTTCCAGAATGGAAACAGACGAAGCAGTTGCCTATCCCATATTCAGCGATAAAGGAATTGCAGTGGTGGCTGGTAAATCTAACAAGCGCTTCGCCGATATTTCCGAAGAATCCAGATATCTTCGTAACCAGTGACAGTGGGGTCATAAAAAAACCGTTATTTTTAGGGGCTCAACCGGGATTATTTTTGTTTTTTTTAGCATCAGAGAAATATCTTAAAATAAATAATACTTATGATTTTATTTTTATTGTTTTGTCATTAAATTAACTTTTTAAAACTCATAATTTTATTGACTTTAAATTTAGGGTGCTGAAGATAAGTAAGTGCTGTCTTTCTTATTCTTATAGGGAAGCATAGACTACTAAGAAGCTTCCAAATATTCTAACGATTTAATAATGGCAAATTCTTTCGAATAAATTAGCGGAAAGTTTTAAGGTTAATTCTTATCACTTAACTAACCACTGCGCATCCGATAGCCGTATTTTACCGAAACAATTAGCGCGCTTTTTTTGTTTTCATGTATCTTTCTAGATAAAAGTAAATAAATACTAGTCGTAGCTTATTCCTGTTCACTACATGTTAGTGCAACACGTGTATTAGTAAAAATCGCTGTTTTGTATTAGTGCCATCGAATTTGTCACAAAATATCAGAGCCTTCCCAAGTTTTTTCAAGGTAAGACAATTTATTTATTATTATATTTCACAAACTATTAAAAAATAGCATTATTTTTTACATCACTTTTTTTGGAACTATAAGCTAGAAATTTAGCACATAAAAATATTAGCATTTTTTAGCGCTTAGATGTCATTAGAACAAAGAGTGCAGATGATAGAAGAGCAAATGAGAGAATTACGAGCGAAAAAAAGAACAGTTTTGAGGGCTCAACCGGGATCAGTTTTGTTTTTTTTTTTAGCATCAGAGAAATATCTTAAAATGAATAATACTTATGAAATTATTTTAACTTTTTAAAACTCTTAATTTTATTGACTTTAAATTTAAGGTGCTAAAGATAAGTAAGTGCTACTACAAAGCTTTGAAATATTTTAACGATTTAATATTGGTAAAGTCTTTGTAATAAATTAGCGGAAAGTTTTAAGGTTGATTCTTATCGCATTTTTTGTCCTTTCTAACTTTATCGATTTTGTGTTTTGTTTCAATAAAGTTGAAAGGATTACTTTAGAAAATTGGCTTCGTTTGTGGATGAGGCGGGTGTTTTTAGGGTGGGCGGTCGCCTACATAACGCCGATGTGGCATATGCAGTGAAGCATCCAATTATTTTGCCTGGACACCATAGATTAATAGAATTAATAATTATATATTATCATAAAAAATATTTTCATTCGGGGAGTCAATCATTGCAATATCTCATTCCTCAACGATTTTGGATAATGTCGTTTAAACGTACGATACATCACGTTATCTCAAGGTGTAATTCGTGTTTTAGGGTAAATCCAGTGCCTCTTCAACCGCTGATGGGAAATTTACCATCATTTCGTACTAAATCAACAGGTAAAGCGTTTCTTCGTTGTGGGATCGATTTTGCCGGCCCATTTTCGAACTTAATTTCGAGATATAGAGGTGCTCGTACTTCGAATGGTTATATATGCTTGTTTGTTTGCTGTGTCATAAAGGCCGTCCATTTAGAGTTTGTGAGTGATTTGAATTTAGAGTCGTTTTTAGGTGCATTACGTAGATTTGTTGGAAGAAGAGGTCAATGCACTGATATTTATAGTGACAACGGCACGAATTTTGTTGGGGCATGGAATATGTTTCAGTCATACGCTCAGCAGTGTGAAGAACAATTGGCCTTAAAGTGGCATTTCAATCCCCCTTCAAGTCCTCATTTTGGAGGATTGTGGGAAGCTGAGGTTAAATCTGTGAAAACTCAACTGAAGCGAGTAATTGGCAAACAGATATTCACTGTTGAAGAGTTTAATACTATTCTTGTGTAAATAGAGAGTATTCTTAATTCTCATCCTTTATGTAGTGTTAGTGATGACCCAAATAGTAATTTTTTAACTTTTGGACCCGTCGGAAGAATACCTGGTGAGGATGTCAGCGAGGTTTCCCTCAACCGTTTGATAAGGTGGCAATTGGTGCAAAGTAGTGTACAACAATTTTGGAAACGTTGGCATCTAGAATATTTACATACCCTTCAAGAAAGAAGTAAATAGACCACTTCTCAACAAGTTCCTTCCATAGGAAGCTTAGTTTTAATCAAAGAATCGAATTTGCGACCATTAGAGTGGAAATTGGCTCGTATATTAGAATTAACCTTCGGAAAGGATGGGAATTGTAAAGTAGCAAAAGTTAAAACCTTTACCGGTATTTTTGATCGACCTTTAGTTAAACTTTGTCCTCGCCCTTCTCAATAGCTGTTACGGTTTTAAATTTGGTAAAGTATTTTATATGAAATAATAATTAAATTAGTTAATATTAAAGAGAACTCAATAATTATAATGTTTTAAAGTTCACGTTTATGATTTAATTCAGAAAACAATTAACTCGAAACACAATATGATCGTTTGTTTACCTTTTAAAAATCAAGACTAAAGGTTTATTTAGCTAAATAAGACTATGTTGATCCTATTTATTATTTTTATGTTTAAAAACTTTTACCTGGTTCCAAAACAATTATAAAACACTAGGCTCATTTTGTTTTGATAATTTATTTTGATAACCTATAAATAGTTTGTTTATCTTTGATTATAAATTGATATTTGACTGAATGACATATTGACATATTTCTAATTTTATGAAGTGCCTTCTCTTCTTTTCTTCTTTTTGCCAATTATTGCCAACTTATCCACCATTCTTTGAATTAAAACAAAGTGTTCTGTGACTCTGTGGAGGGCTTTCTGACCTTACCAGTTTGGACTTTGAACTGAACCTCTTTTATCTTAGCTTTCTTTTGGAGCACATGGTTCTGAAGAACAACGAATAATTTCGGATTTTCATAAGCTAAAATACAAAGAGAAACTTATTAGATCCTGATCATTATTAACACAGGTTAGATTATCTATTTTGGGATTCAGATCTAGGACTAAAACCTCCTTAAGGCCACACGAGAACTTTGGGTAAGTAGAATCATCTCCGCATACCATTTGCTTTATATCTTTCATTTCCTTATTGTAGGCCTTCTTTTGGTTACTAGTATACATATTTATGTACACATCTTCATCCTGCATGGTAGATATATATGATTATTTCCTCACCTTGCTTCTTGCTTTCTTTCGCCTGCTTTCTTGCTTACCACTCACAGTACTGGGGCATCTGAAGAACATAGGTAGAGCTGCGGTAGATGTATATCCCTACATAGCTGCTACATACCTTCCTAGGGCTCACACACAGAGAGAAAAGCTTGAAATCCACTGTCTCCAACAAAATTACAAAGTAAGCTCGTTCCATCCTTATATAACTATAATTTTAAGCCTCTATATAGTTTTGGGGTACCCTCCTGTAGGGTTGTATATAGTCTGCTGAAAAATATATATATAGAATTAGTTACCAGTTTTAAATATACTAAAGAATGATAAATAACTACTGTTGCTTAGAAAATACAATAAAAAAATATATGTGTAAACTTACTTGTAAACGCCAAGGGGTACCACTCGGACGTACAACATTAGAATTTATATAGTTTGTTTATTAAAAGATACATTTGCTCTCAACTACAAGAATTCAATTCAACGCATCCCTACTCTCCGACAGATTTTAGTTGTTAGTGGTTCATTTGAGCTAGCCAGAACCAAAAGGCAACCCAATACCTTTACCACATTATAGACCCTATCCAGCAGGTTGTAAAAAGGGTTTATCAATCGTAATATAGACTTGAATAAATAAATAAATATTTGATTATTGTATATATGTTAGTAGTTTAGTAAGTTGAAAGAAAGAGTCCAAGGTAATTATTTGTCCGTTTGTAATGTCGGAAATAATTTCATTATTTGGTGGGCGGAATGTTTTTATTTAAAAGCAACCCGACTATAGCCACATTAATCGCCCGGACTATTTTTTACCATTTCGAATTATTGTACAATGAGAGCGCTGCGATCACCTCCGTTTGCACATATCCGCGAAGAATTAGTGTTCGCGCAACACCAATAGAGATTATTGTCGTTTTAGAACAGTGTGTAAAAAATTAGCAGTGTCACTCCGCCATTCATCACGTGTATAGTCATTGCACAATTAGAGTCTCATATGAAGACTATTGGGATCGCTCGATAAAACAAATCTATTGTGTCTTATATGACAAACCTTTACCGATATAATTGATGATATCGGTGTATATGTGTGTGTTTACCAAGAAAATCAAGTGTTGGATTCTACAGCTCAAGTAACGGGGGCCACCATGTCTTCCAGTCGCTACAGAATCTTAAGCAATTTTGTGTCACTTTATTTTCAAGGGAACTTAAAATTTCGTGGTTTGCTCGAACAAAAATCGTGTTTCTTACTTAAAACAAAGCAGTGAGCAAAGTTTATGAAAATTAAATTATTATTACTTTTTAAATTAATTTTATAAACTTTAAATAAAATAGTAACAGGTTGTACTTAAAAAAATACACGATTTTATGACTTATATTTAAATAAACAGGGCGAATAAAAATATAGTGACCAATTTTATTTTCATTTAGTGATAAGGTATTAGGTTTACGATTTTTATAGTATCCATATTTAATCAACTGGTACCTAACTAATTAATAAAAATTGCTCGGAAAACGAAACCCAGTACAAAATTTTGAGTTTGATTTTTTTTTTTTTTTTATTAAGGATTTCGTTTGATAATGTATTTTTTATATTATATTTTCTTCTATAGTAGTATAGTAGGCACTATAAAGGTTGTCCTAATATTTGCATTTAACACCTATATTTGACATATTGAGATTATTTTATTTCTTGTTCTTACATGCTATTCTATTGTTGATCTAATTCTGTAGATATTTTGTTTTATTTTATTCCCATTCCCTTTTTTCGTTACTAAAGAAGGATCCTCAACATTTGGTAAGTGAAGAATTGGAGTATGAGTTACGAGTGAGAGGTTATACCAAGTTCGGTTCTGAATCA